GGGGGGGAGAAAAAACCCAACATGAAAATGCTGCTCAGGCTGTGATTGCCCGTGAGTCAGACATTTATTGATTCGTAGGAGCGCTGAAGCCATCACGGACCACTGGAGTTCATCACCTTTGAAAACATAGACTCCTGTGGCTTTTTTTTCTTTTTTTTTTTTTTTGTATAGAGGAGTGTGCAGCCCAGCACTTACAAATGGGAAAGCTTTTTACATTTCAGCACCGCAGGTGTAACGTAGAATGCTTCCTTGCATGAGGAGGTAAAAGAGGCTGTTGCTGCCTAAAGTGAGTCCTTCCTGGCTGTTTTCGAAAGGAAAATCAGATCATGTAACAGGTAAAGGAAGAGCAAAGATAACATTTATTGATTTTTATCCTTAATTTGCTTTTGATATCATTAATTTTGGTCTAGAACTCTGTTCCTGATTGGCTGCCACCTTTGCGTGCGTATTGAGTACCCAAGGCTTACTACTTTTTCAGTCAGGCTGCGGGGCTTTTGCAGCCAGATCAGGCAAATACTTTGCTGATCTCAATTCACTGTTGGATTTAAGTGTGCACAAAATATTTTCTGGGCTTAACTTTTTTTTTTGACAGCTTTCACGACAGATAAAGTACCATCAGACCAGAGGGTTGTTTGATATTCCATGGATTTTTTTGGCAGCAGCTTTCCTTGTCTTTGCCCACAGGGCAAGTCCTTCAGTATTATTGATCTCTTTCAAACATGAGCTTTCTCTTTGGCTTTGGAGGTTTATTGCCATGGGCTCCTCAACAGGTTTTCTCCAAAAGCCTGGCTTTGAATTGGATTTTGCTTTGAATCAGACCTCATCTAGCACTACACCTCAGATGGGGCTGCAATTTTGCTGGCCAAATTCCATTAGACCTTTTCCATTGGCACACCAGCACAGAAAGATCACAGAGTCAGTTAGGCCTCCCACAACAGATATGTGTATAATTTGTCTCTTGTTTTTGAGGCCAGTTTGCAGTCTGCAAGAATGAGCAGTGTCACCACTCAGGGAGAGGAAGATCCCTAAGGAAAGCAGCTGAGCGCCTGATAGCCGTAGTGCACAGTGCATGGTGGGGCAGAGCAGTTTGCTGGTCCTCTGCATGACAAGTCAGTGCATGGAGGCTGCCTTTCATGTTTTTTGTTATGTTTTGTTTTGTTTGGTTTTTCCCTTCAGTGTGACAAATAAATGCTAGAGACTTTACCAACAGAGGAAACTCATATTTCCAGCTGTGCTGCGTGATGGGCCTTGCTGGAAACCGTTGCTGCAGAGCAATGGTTTTCACAGCACTAGGTTCCTGTAACCAAATGGCAATGATTTAAAAAAAAAAACTAACCTGAATCAATCAGGAAGACACATGTATGAAACAATTCATGGCATAGACTTCTGGCTGGGTTACGATTAAAAAGCATTCACTGCAATAAAGGTTTGTGTTCTCCCCGCCCCCAGTTCTCTATTTTAAGTTGTTTTCCTCAGGAGAAACGTTCTGGAGAATCCTAGCAGGTACTGCCTGGCTTAAAAACGTGACTTTGTTATCACGGGTTTGTTAACCATGGGTTGTCTGTAATGGAGTAGAAGATGGGGATTGTCCTCTGTCTCAACTGTCCCTCGCTCTCCCATGATGAGCTCTTTTCTTTCCCTGCCAGGCTGCAAGTTTGGACTTCAGCAAGCAGCTTGGGGGAGAGGCAGAGTACTGTTTTGTGCACAGAGCGCATTTGCTGTTATTCCTCAGACTCTTCTCCAACATTTATTTTTTTTTTAGTGTCCTTGTACTCACATATTGTTACTTAGACTTGGTCTTCAGGGCAACTATGTTTACAGAGAGTCATCTGCATTTACAGAAGATATGAAAAAGCTTGTATCTCCCAGGCATGCATATTTTTTTCATTGAAAGCTAGACTATCGCTAGGGCGGTTTGTTTCTACTTCTTTATGGTTGGGGAAGAAAGTGGTGTGCTTGCACATGTAAATTTTTGTGACAGTTTTACAAGTCTGCATTTACAATGATATCTAAGCAGTAAATAATCATTCTCTTAACAGAAGAAACACAGTTGTTATCCTATATTGTAGTGTGCTAATGCTCATTTGCTTCTGGATATTCATTTTGCATAAACTGGAGCCACATCCTTTTTTTTTTTCTTCTTCTTTTTTTCCCATACACAATCTTCAGTGTGAGAGGAAGCTCAGCCTCTGCATGCTGAGCTGGTACACGTGTAATCCCGGAGTGGCGCAGGGAGGACAGAGTAGTAGCTCTGTCTGAATGAGCCTCCAAGCTTTCCTGTGGGAGGTAACCCTGCTTTCCCTACCCTGCCCCTGCTCCATGCCCAGGCAAACGGGAAGAGCAAGTGCCTGCTCCTGTTCAGGCTTCTGTGGGGCTGGTGCTGCCTGGCCTCAGCAGCAGCTCAATGGAAGGGGAAGTGCTCTTCTGTCTGCACGCTGGAGGGGAGAGACCTGGCAGCCTGGCTTTTTTGTTTTAAGGAGTACTGCCCATGTCCTAGAAGAAAATAACTTGGGTGTAGTGATCCCAGCAGGTCTCCTGTGGCTGCACAAAAAGTGATACATTTGGGATGTGGAGTCTTGCTGAACTATCTCTTTCCCATCCCACAATAGGCAGCAGGAATTGAGATGTTCCCCAGTAGGAAGGGCCGGAGGGGTGAGCAGGAGGCACAGTCAGCTCTGTGCCCAGGATTTCCAAATGCAGGGCACGAGGCAGATTTGAACTGGAAGGAGGCAAGGCAAAAGACCAGTTGCTTCCCCAGGGGAGTTTTGGGGATGGATGGATTGTTTGAGGAGAATAGCCTTTGCAGACAGAATCTGACTTGCCTTCACGAATTTGAGGGGAAAGTAGTTACCCTGAGAGGCAGCAAAAGCAAAGAAGAAGACTAAGAAAACTATGAAGGTGGTAGCTGGTGGACTTAGATACACAAGGAAGACAGGCATCTGGGTATGCTCTGGGACAGAAAACAGACATAGCAGAGAACAAAGACCACACAGCAGCAAGAGATTTATAGCCCAAACAAGGGAAGAGTGCAGAGAAGGAAGAGTGAGAGGAGAAAGCAAGGTGATGGTGTGGGAAAGGTGTTAGGGGACCTCCTTGGACAGAGCAGCCTGTTGAGCAGGGCTGCGGGTAGATGCCCCCTCAGATTTTCAAAGGCAGCACTGTAGCCCCATTGACTGAAGTCATGCTAGTGATCCATCGCTTGACAGTCAGTGGTGTTGGATGACTAAATGACTATAAAATTTAGTCTTTAGAAATTGCTAAGATATGTGGGACCTTTTATTTCTTAATTTTACATTATCGTAAATATGTTTGATTAATTTATATCTTGAGAAACCTTTGGAATATCTATGTGCTTCTGACATTTAAAAATTATTTTTAGCTTTTTGTTCTCCTAAACGATCCTGAGGCTCTGTTTGGACTTGATAAGCATATCTGCATGATTTACGATGGGAAGAAAGATGATTTCCCTCCTCAGTAGCTGTACAGATGCAGGGGAAGAACATAAATGAGGAATTAATGTTAGGAAGGAAATGATAGCTCATATGTGGGGTTCAGAAGGAAATGATGAAGTGCTTGTGGTCCCTGTCTTTGGGTTAGCCTCATTAATTATAGAAATGTCACTAGATCAGGCTTTAATGCCATGGTCGTGAAAGGGAATGTCGCTAGTCTGAAGCAGTCAACTAACCCCATCCTTTGATTTGTGCTGCTTAACATTCAATGGAGATGAAATGTGGGGATGAGGGAGGAGTGCTATTAAAATAAATTTTTACCAGTGTTAGATTTATTGTGTATAATTTTAAAGATGACCTTTTAAACAAAGTCCATGTTCAGTTTAATTTGAAAGACCTGAAGAACTGGAAGATTTGTGTCTGTATAACGATAGACGCAATATGAAATAAACAAGGGCACTATACTAAAATGCCCTCACTAAATGATACCTCAGACTAAAAAGATCTTAAGATAAGGTTTCTAGATAGCAAAAGCAATGTAAGGAAGTTAAGAGAGGAATAGGTGTGCCTCCATCAGCTGTTCAGGTCTGAGAGGTAAAGAAAAATCAAATGCTTACTACTTTCTCTGATTCAGTGCTTGTAATAATACTGTTTTGTTTAAGCACAGCTGGCACTGATGGCCTGATTTCTCCTAATGTTAGCCACTTCTCAATTCTTTCTTTGAGATGCACCACTTTTTAAGTTCATGGTTTGGTTTTTTTGTGCCAGTTAATACCATTCTCCCATAGTTTCTGGGCTCATCCAACAAAAAGTAATAAGAAAAGTAACTTTGATAAACAATGGGCCAGAGAATGCTTCCTCTAAATCTTGCTCTGGTAAATGGCAACTGACCATACAGGCCTCGTCCCCACCTTTGCAGTTGCCACCTGAAGATTTTTGTGTATGATAAGAAAAAAATTACTCAATTCTTTATAATAACACACTACTATGTCAGTAAATGCTAATTACAACCTCAGATTAAAAAGAAAAAAAGCTAAATTAAAATTGAAAATATTCTTAACCTTAAGATTATTTTTTTTCCCCCCTGAGGATGAAGTTTGATTAAAAATGAGGTGATAGCTTTCTTTTTCTAGCAGAAGAGTATTTTATGTCAGCA